GCTGTCAGTAATTAAAATACATATGTATTCGTTTTAAATTTTGTTTTTAGTTGGCTCTAGTGATTTTGTTTTGAAATAACTATGCTCTTCATTCCGAAATCCTACCAAAAATTAAAAAAAAATACTTTTAAAATTAAAATACCGAGTTTTGCATTTATGTTTTAAAAATACCCAGTTTTGCAATTTCAAATACCGATAAGTGCATGGTTGTCTTATTTTAGAACATTTATTTTCTTACAATTTTTTTTTATAAAGATACAAAAATATAAATTAATAGTTATTTATGCAACAAGTGCAAAAAGTAAGTGCTTATTGCACGCGACGTGAAACGAGGGTCAGGCCGAGTTGGACAGCACGTCGAGTGCAATAAACTCTTTTTGCACGAGTTGCATAAAATATTTTTTCTACGTTCATGCAAAAATCAAAAAATGTTTTATAGAACTGCAGTTGTATTATCCAAATCATAGTAGCCGTGATCGTGTACCTTTGTTTGAGGCATTTATTTACGTTTGTGTTCATAATTTGTAATGACATTTTTAATAAAATACATTTTTTTATTAATTTATTTATTAAATGATTGAAAATATTATAAAATATGCAATTGTTTTTAAAACGTAACACAGAAAATAAAAATGGACTAAATATTTGGCGTTGATTTGAATATTTATGTTTGTCATGATCATAAAACGCTGTAGTAAAATGACAGATGAGTGCAATAAAATTTTTATTGCACTAGTGCAATAAAGAACCAGTTTTTTCACTAAATATAGTTTAGTTAAGTTTTGTTTTTTGCATGAACGTAGAAAAAAATTTATTAGATGTAATAAAATAAGCAAACTATAAATGAATAAATTAAAGTTTCTGTTGTTTCTTTGTTTGTTTACTCATATAGAAAATATTCAGAATCTATCTAAAATACCTTTAAATTAAATAGTTGATAGTTCAGACGTACAAGGAAATATTTTAGGTCTACAAATTTTAGAATATTTAACAGTATTTCGTTTTTGGGCAACTAATAATAAACACTTATAAGTTAAAATGTTTGGCATATTTTAGTAAATTAAGCTAATCTTCTCTTTCTGATTGAATTCAGTTTACAAAATAAAAAATTAGTCATAAGACTAAGTTTGACCGGTAATTTTAAAATTTTAACCGAATATTGTTTGTTCACAAGGGAACAGCCGCACCTTCTGTTCCCCACCCCGGCAGCGCTCATTTGTTCGTGGTAGTAACCTTTGCAGTGTCTTTCACGAGTCTTCTTGTATACTGCCTGGTTTCCTGTTCTGTAAAATTTCGATTTTATAGTTTTGCAACACTTTTTCTGGTCATTTAGTACGATTTAAGAAATACTTGCGACAATCACAAACGTATCCAAAAAGTCATTAAAAAAAGATAAATTGAAAGCTTTCACAAGCGCGATATTTTCTATAACTTACTACTGAGAATATAAAGAATATAAAGAAATAAAAAAAAACAGATTATGTCCGTTGAAACAAAAACTAGTAAAACAAGGTACTAAAAAAAAAAGACAAAACAAAACGTATGTACCTACACAAAAAAGTATGAAAAACAAAACAAATCAACTGACAACCAGTAAGATTTGTGAATACCTACTTATATTTAATTGAAATTAAACTTTGCTGATAAACTTAATAATAGAAGATTGTATTTATATTTACAGATATAAAAATATCATTGTATTCAATAAGACATTGTTCGTAGTGTAACTTAAAAATCTCGACTAAATGTAAATTAGAAATGAGCAATAATGATGAACAAACAATGACTAAATGTATTTATGCAAATTTTAATTATTTGTGAATACTTTAAAAAAATATTACGTAAAATCAGTATTAAAATATTTGACCAGCAAACAGAGTGAATTAATTTATTGGTAGGTAAATTAAACAAATTAAATGAATAATTGCTTTACCATTTATAAAATCATGGATTAGTGTTTGCAATATATTTAGAATATTGCAAATAAAATATGACAAGTTGGGAAAAAATTATGTAATTATTTATATTTTTTATAATTAATTTGCAAAGAAGAAGAACATAATTATAGGGCCTTTATTTCTCAAATACAAGACGACTAATTAAGTTATCCATTGGTACAGTTGACGCAACCGAAACTAAAACGCCAAAATTTATTAGTTTGATTTATATTTTGCAGTATAGCATTTAAATTTGACAGCTCTTAAAAATAATTGTCAAATTTTTCAAAGAATCGTAGATTTTAAATGAAGGTTCTCATAAAAAATAAAACAATGCTCTCGGAGAATATATCCATCAAAATACTCCCAAAACTAATGTGAAAGCAGAAGAAGAAACATTATTCCCAGGATCTCTATCAAATAGTTCAAATTCGTTTAAAACAAGCTGATTTAAAAACCGCGATAAAAAACAACAAAACAAAAAATAACAAAAATAACAAAAATAACAAAAATAACAAAAATAACAAAAATAACAAAAATAACAAAAAACAAAATAACAAAAATAACAAAATAACAAAAATAACAAAAATAACAAAAATAACAAAAATACAAAAATAACAAAATAACAAAAATAACAAAAATAACAAAAATAACAAAAATAACAAAAATAACAAAATAACAAAAATAACAAAAATAACAAAATAACAAAAATAACAAAAATAACAAAAATAACAAAAATAACAAAAATAACAAAAATAACAAAAATAACAAAAATACAAAATAACAAAAATAACAAAATAACAAAAATAACAAAAATAACAAAAATAACAAAATAACAAAAATAACAAAAATACAAAAATAACAAAAATAACAAAAATAACAAAAATACAAAAATAACAAAAATAACAAAAATAACAAAAATAACAAAAATAACAAAAATAACAAAAATAACAAAAATAACAAAAAATAACAAAATAACAAAAATAACAAAAATAACAAAAATAACAAAAATAACAAAAATAACAAAAATACAAAAATAACAAAAATAACAAAAATAACAAAAATAACAAAAATAACAAAAATAACAAAAATAACAAAAATAACAAAAATAACAAAATAACAAAAATAACAAAAATAACAAAAATAACAAAAATAACAAAAATAACAAAATAACAAAATAACAAAAATAACAAAAATAACAAAAATAACAAAAATAACAAAAATAACAAAAATAACAAAAATAACAAAATAACAAAAATAACAAAAATAACAAAAATAACAAAAATAACAAAAATAACAAAAATAACAAAAATAACAAAATAACAAAAATAACAAAAATAACAAAAATAACAAAAATAACAAAAATAACAAAAATAACAAAAATAACAAAAATAACAAAAATAACAAAAATAACAAAAATAACAAAAATAACAAAAATAACAAAATAACAAAAATAACAAAAATAACAAAAATAACAAAAATAACAAAAATAACAAAAATAACAAAAATAACAAAAATAACAAAATAACAAAAATAACAAAAATAACAAAAATAACAAAAATAACAAAAATAACAAAAATAACAAAAATAACAAAAATAACAAAAATAACAAAAATAACAAAAATAACAAAAATAACAAAAATAACAAAAATAACAAAAATAACAAAAATAACAAAAATAACAAAAATAACAAAAATAACAAAAATAACAAAAATAACAAAAATAACAAAAATAACAAAAATAACAAAAATAACAAAAATAACAAAAATAACAAAAATAACAAAAATAACAAAAATAACGAAAATAACGAAAATAACAAAAATAACAAAAATAACAAAAATAACGAAAATAACGAAAATAACAAAAATAGCAAAAATAACAAAAATAACAAAAATAACAAAAATAAGAAAAATAACAAAAATAACAAAAATAACAAAAATAACAAAAATAACAAAAATAACAAAAATAACAAAAATAACAAAAATAACAAAAATAACAAAAATAACAAAAATAACAAAAATAACAAAAATAACAAAAATAACAAAAATAACAAAAATAACAAAAATAACAAAAATAACAAAAATAACAAAAATAACAAAAATAACAAAAATAACAAAAATAACAAAAATAACAAAAATAACAAAAATAACAAAAATAACAAAAATAACAAAAATAACAAAAATAACAAAAATAACAAAAATAACAAAAATAACAAAAATAACAAAAATAACAAAAATAACAAAAATAACAAAAATAACAAAAATAACAAAAATAACAAAAATAACAAAAATAACAAAAATAACAAAAATAACAAAAATAACAAAAATAACAAAAATAACAAAAATAACAAAAATAACAAAAATAACAAAAATAACAAAAATAACAAAAATAACAAAAATAACAAAAATAACAAAAATAACAAAAATAACAAAAATAACAAAAATAACAAAAATAACAAAAATAACAAAAATAACAAAAATAACAAAAATAACAAAAATAACAAAAATAACAAAAATAACAAAAATAACAAAAATAACAAAAATAACAAAAATAACAAAAATAACAAAAATAACAAAAATAACAAAAATAACAAAAATAACAAAAATAACAAAAATAACAAAAATAACAAAAATAACAAAAATAACAAAAATAACAAAAATAACAAAAATAACAAAAATAACAAAAATAACAAAAATAACAAAAATAACAAAAATAACAAAAATAACAAAAATAACAAAAATAACAAAAATAACAAAAATAACAAAAATAACAGCTTTATCAATTTTTAGTCTGTTGTCACTTTGGGGATGAGGGTGTAATAATTTCTTAGGGAGTTAGGGTTTTTTTACTTTCATAATTTATAAATCTAAATAACAAATACATATTTACAATTTTGATTGCTTTCGTAGACATTTACTTTTTTCTTTTTTAGCTTCATCAATTTTTTTAATTTGTTTACAAATAAAATGCATTCTACTGATTAGGTAAAAGCGAATTATTGCAGGTGTATTATTTTCTTTGTGTTCATCACACCCTACAAATAAAATGCTTATTTCTTTAATTTTATTTAAGATTTACAAAAAGAGTTTGTTGATGAACTGGGTTTCTTGATAACACCTCTAAGATAGTCGATTCCAGCATTGATATTAAATAAATTAGAGAATGAGATGGGTATATTAAAAACCCTTTACTTATTAACGTAATTAATTGATCTTTAGACTGAGGCTCAATACTTTTTAATTGTCGAATGCAAGTTTCACATTTTGTAAATCTGGTAGCTTTTCTTGCAATGTATCCAGAAACGTAAGATACAATAACTGGAGAGGTTTTTGTAGTATTATAGTCATGATCTTTTAAATAAGTTTCAACATAATCTTTAAACCAAAAGTCATTTTCCAAAATATAATCGAGACTTTTCTGAAATCTCTGGGCATTTTCTTCTGAACTGACGATTTCTTCAATATTTACTAAAGTTTTCAACATTTCTGATTCCTCGACATGCTACCTTTAGGTGGCTTTACTAGTGAATAGGTGCTTAAACGAAACATTTAAATAAAAAGCCTCGAGTCAGTATGGTCATTGGAATCACAAGCAGATCTCATCATTCCAAAGAAACACTGAAAAATAGCTAGCAATACTTATATGTAACTATGAGTAAGTAATATTATAACTGGCTTACTTCTTATATTGATTGAGCTTGGCTGCCAGTAAATATTGGTATCCGTGCTTGTTACATAAGAAGTTCATGAACTCGAATGTAGTTTTAAAGTTACTACTAGACCATAGAAAGTATTATCAGATAAAAAGTACACATTATTTTTTTTTTTTTATTATTTCCATTCATATAAATAAAATAGAGAATTCCTAATAAACTGCAAAAAAGAAAAACCAGCAAAATTAAAACGAAAAAGTAACGTCCATTTTCACCGCTAGTCATTAAGAAATACGCAAAGTAAAACATGACATTTTTGTAATAGCAGTGCAAATGAACCTAGATGCTATTAAACTTGTTCTTCTTCCGATTATTGTTTTAAAGTTTGATCCCAAGGTGTTTTTGAACTGTTGAAGTGTTGCGAAACGTTTAATCAAAATTACAGAAAGTTCACAGTCATCTAAATTTTAATTTGAATTTTTGTAAATTTCTATAGCTGCTGCAACTAAAATAAACACTATTAATATATCACTTTTTATTCATTTATATTAGTATTATACTCGATAAGCTCTACCAACATTCATTTTCTGGTAATGTTTAGGATGAACATCATCCTTGCTAAGTTTGGGACAAATTTTTAAGCACAGACTACTTGGCTGGTCCATTTCTATTATTGTATCCCAGTGATTTAATTTTGCAATACCATCAGGAGTCTGGAATTATTAAAAACTCGTTTTGATTATTTTTAAACATTATACTAAGTACAATTACACTTCCTACCCAAGTCTCACTTTTTTGAACAAAGAAATTTCTAATATTTTTAATTAAATGAGGAAAATCAGAAGAAAAACAGTGTTGTTGGGAAGGATCACATATGTGCTGACAAGACACATTACTTTCGGAAATGTTAAATTTTTTCCACATTGCTCTATTCCACGAAGCGCCGTTGGTTGTCACTACATCAACGGAAAATCCTGTTTTTTGCAGCAGATTTATACACTCGATAATTAGATGATGTAACACAGTGGCAGATGCACATCCTCTGCTTAAAAAACATGCTAATGATTGAACCCAAGAACCTCTGAATGGTTGAAACGTCATAACTAGGGCATGATCTCCTTTGGCATTTGTTTGATGTAAAGGTGTATATTTTCCTAAATCCGTAAAACCATGTACTTTTAGAGTTTTTTATTGAATGACAAAGTTTCCGTTAACTTCATCTCATCTATTAGCAATATACCTGTTAAGAAAAAAGATTGAGCAAGTTGTTAGTGTTTAACTAATTGACTATTGTTATATAAACATGTCTACTCACCTATTTTTTCTTCTTGATTCACATGGGTTCCTTTTTTTTTTCAATGAATTAAAAGTAGATTTTTGAAAGCCATAACATCCACTCATTTTATTAACATATTAAGGGTTTCAATACACGGAAGTGGCAACAATTTTTGCCTCCTCAAATGCTCATAAACTGATCTTCCTTTCATTCTAATAAGTAAGCATTCATAAATCAATGCATATATCGTCTATTATTTAGATTTGATATTTTTGCTACAGCAAAACAGCAAAACACATCAGAACTGCTTCTTTTTAAGTGGTTGGTAGGTCTGATATACTTTCCTCTATAGTTTCAGAGGATATTTTAGCACACTTTTTTTGTTTTCTTCTATTTCATTTTTAAGTTTTGTTATCTATAAAAAAAATCAATGCATATTAGTATATAAAAACAAAATAAGTCAAATTTTACCAAAAAATTCAATAATGTTTTAAATTACCTTTCCTTTTAATCTTAAGTTTTTGCGTTTAACGCAGCGTAATATGCCTTTCATTTTCTTGTGACGTCTTAACATATATTCTTTAATAAGTATTTTTTTATTTCCAGCATGTTTCATTTTGCATGGTAAACAATTACAAGTGGGCCTTTTTGGTCAGGTATTTTTACAGGAGCAATTCCAGAGCAACATTCAGATGCACTATAATATAAAAATAAATAAGAACAATAGAAGCACTTAAGTAACTTTTATATGAAACATAAAGAGAACATATAAACGGACAACTTTAGTGACTCAATTAATGCTTGAAAGACAATTAAAACATGCACTATGAAAATACTATCCAGGGTTCACCTAAATTTATATCAGTATTGAAAAAGGTGAGTTCTTGGCATATTTAATTACTCAAAATTCATGTAAACAATAGCATTGAATTAATTTTTTTTTAAATAGAATATCTAAAGGTTGCCCTGCCGGGAACCACTCGACTCAATAACTTTATTGGGTTTAAATTATTCTCAGTACTAGAACAACTCTCCCACGTTTTATTTACACTATTTGGGTTATTAATAAAAATTATCTTAAAAACAGAAATATAGAGCATATGTGTTTATATGATATTTTGATCAATAAATAGGCCAATGTTAATATTGACATGGCATTTAGGAGCACCCTATTTATGGATCCTAATAAATGTTCAAGTTTTTAAAAACTTTTTATTATTGTAACTGTATCTGGTAGGAAAATTTCAGTTTTTCGAAATAGAATCTAAAAGAGCACAGGTAGTACTTTGATGCATATTTTATTGTTCTTATGTACAACAAATTTTAAATAACCTACCTTAAAAGACATATCCTGGTGTATCACAATTTTTTTAGTTGGAGTGTATGTTTCATCCCATTCAACAAAAATTAACATGATTTTTTTCAGGAATAAAGGTACCTGACCACTGTTTATTTGGTGTGCAAATTAGACCCAAATTATCTTTCAAAATTTGATCTCCTACATCAACAACTACAATTTCATCATCCTGGTGAATAGTTTCTTCAGCAATAGGTTCCAGTATTTTCTTCCATTTTTTTATTCTAACAAATTCAGTTCGGTTCAATGGTGGTTATCGTCTTTTCCTAATACTGTACAAGTATGAAGGGAGATTCAGGAATATACATGGTATTGCTTCGTTCTTTAATCTCGGCCTTTTCCTTTTTATTTTGTCCACAGTACCATTAGTTAAAATATTCTCATCAAATTTTAAAATATCATCTTCTAAAAAGTGTAGCTGGCAAACAGAATCATAACTAGACACTACTTTATCAGCCCTAGGAATCACATGCTGCCATTGTTGTAAACGTTTAGGATCCTATAAAAAATATTTGCAATGACTAAACTGGAGTTCAATAAAGAAAAATAACAGTAGTAACTCTTCATCTAACATCAAGGAACATAAAAAATAGCAAATTTTCTTTTCTAGTAAGTTAAATTTAATTTGTATTATTGTTGTTTGTAAGTCAGGATTTATGACTTTATTATTTTTTATTATAGAATTTTGTAATTAACGCCCGTATGCACCGTACACGTTTAATCCAGATTAAGGGTTTAATCGCGATTAGTACCATTTTTAGATATGGTACTAAACACGATTAAATACTTGATCTGGATTAAACGTGTACGGTGCATACGGGCGTTAATCAACTACACTCCGTAAAATATGGGTTGTGGCTATTTTACAATAAATATATAATATTTAGAAATAAATACATTATTTTACTTACACTAGGAGCTTTAAAAAGACTTGGATTTTTATCTCCTTATGTTTTCTTTAATTTTATATCGGATTTATATCCCATTTTTCAACCCGGAACGAAGCAAATCCTGCTTTGCCTTTTTTTGTTACTCATTGTTACTTGTAGTCAGGTTCTTCATTTTAGCTTAATTTTATTCTTTTCACTAAATTTTACAAAAATCACTTTAATCCCCATTGACTTGCATATGAAATAGACGTCGTTATTTTGCCACTCGCCAACTACAGTAGTTTTTTGGAACTCCATAAAAATAGGGACGGAAATTTGAAATTTGGAATAAAAATTGTAGAGAATTATATTTCAAATAACTTTTATTTAAACAATTTTTATAAAAAATAATTTTTTTTTACATTTTGTCAAATTTCTCGAATACAGACCATTTTAGAAAAATTTTGTATAAAACAATAATTATAGATAATAATATTAGAAGTAAGTTTTGTTTAAAGAATTTTCTCCTCTAAACGTAAATAACATATATATATTCCATAAAATATAAAAATGACCACCTATAAAGTACCCCCCCAGATGTTCCGACTCTGCTTAAAATCTAATCATTTCATTAAACGCTTAAGTTTAAAATTTAGTGTTTTTCTGTGTATCGGTTCATGAGTTATGGTGGATACAGACACACAGACACACACGGCAATTTTACCCTAAGCTCCCCCTAATTTACCTACCTAAGAAGATGATCAAAAACTAAGGTTTAGTCCAATAAATGAAGCGTAAAAAGGTAAGTATTTGTAACAAATTTTACCTAATTATCTTTAAACGTTTAGAAAATATACAAAAGTGTGGTATCAGGACTTCACTTTTAACACCCTGTATCTCGGAAAAGAAAAGTATTCGGACCTATGTTTATATGAACTTTTACTACTATTTTGGGATGTAGATTACTCTGTTAAAATATGACTGTCTAATTCCGGGACACCCTGTATATCATCTATAACTATCAATAAATAAAAAATATTTGAGTTGTTTGGTTTAAAAATAGTATTTTTACATTCCTATAATATTAACAAGCACTAAACCCCCAGTAGGCGGCGATAGCCAACGACTTACTTCGCCAATTGATGACATACCTGTGTTCATGTAATTGTAATTGGACCCTACCCAATATGATTATTCTTCAGCGCACGACACACAACATTGACAAAAATTTATGTAGCGAACAAGGTTCCAAATACTTTAAGGGGAGGTCGTGAGATCCGTGCGGTGTGACGTCAGAAGGGACTTGATTGCTCTTAACAGTTGAATGGT